AGCACAGCAGAACTTTCTGTTTCCTGATAGGGTACTGATTTTAAGGTTTATTCATAAATGAAAAATCTTTTTTGAGTGCTGTAAAAAATGCCACAGTAATAAATTTAAATTTGATTTTTTAAGAATGCTACAGGGTAGGTTGTTTTTTTTTTTTTTGAGTATTTGTTTAAGAATACACACAAGAATGAATAGGAGTACTGTTTTATTTCAGTATTACTGTCAACAGAAAGAAGACAGAAATTAGTCTTTATTACCATTATTGACTATGTAATTAACACAAAATACCAGGACCAAGGGGAAGATTATATTTCCATCACCTAGTGTCTTTTTTGATTGTATTTTAAATAGCATTGCATACTGTTTTTTATTATCACTTAATATTAGTTGAATATAAATGACTTTTTAATGCAACTGTATAATGTTGCATGTGTCATGTTTGAGGAGGTTTTGAAATGATAATGTACTACACCTAATACTCTATTACCTTGCATAAATCTTTGAGAAGAAGGTTTTTAGAGAATTCTAAGTTTACTGCTAAAAAATCATTTGTTAATTTTTTTGAAAAGGAGTCACAGAGTGGAGTCTGGTTGTCCAAAGGGAAAAACAATGACAAACCCATTTTTGTTAATATGAATGTGTGTTTTTTTAATTAAAACATCTGTGATATTTTGTGGAGAGAGTCTAAACAGGCTACAGTTAAACAGTATAAACCTGTGCTTTATTTTTTGTCTTTGTCACTTGTTTCTGTCAAATATGCTTGAGAAATACAATCCTACTTATTTTAAAGTCTAACAATTAATGAGATCTGTCTGAATAAAACAAGCATGATTTTTTGCAGTTTGTAAATTTTATTTGTAGATGTGTGACACCTGCTATTCTTTCTTCTACTGAAAAAAATATTTTGAAGTAGTTTATAATACCTAAAATGTCTTATGTGTAAAACTTATTAAAGTTGATGGTCTAATTGAGGCTATGAAAACATTAATTATTGGTATTATATAATTAGTTATAAATTTTTTGAGTAAGTGAAAAGAGTGAAGTCTGTTTTCTATTCTTTACCGTATGTTGTTATTTTTTAATTATGTTTTCTTGTTGTAGCATGTCTTGGCCGAATTGTCTTGTTTTTTTTCTCTTAGGAAGTCTTGTGAGCTTGCTCTGCTCTTCCTGGTAGGCTAAATTTCTGTCCTGTGGAGTACTGTGTTGAGTGCCTTTTTTGTATTTCACTTCTTTATTTTTTTATTTTGTTTTTAGGTAGTAGGTCCACCTGGTACAGGGAAAACTGATGTTGCAGTCCAGATAATATCCAATCTCTATCATAATTTCCCAGAACAACGAACTCTTATAGTTACCCATTCTAATCAGGTAAGGTGATAGTAATGCATCCTAGAAATTTTCCTATGGTTAAAATCAAGAAGAGCAGCAAATGTTGAAATCAGTAGGTTTAAAGCCTCAGTTTTCTCTTAGAAGTATAAACTTATGATAACTGGTGAGCAGTTTTGCCATTTCTAAAGTGTGAGATGAAATTTATGAATTTCAGGTAACTCTAAGATATTTAGCAGAGATTTTCAGGGTATTTAACTGTTTAGGAGATTTGAAATTAGGAAGTGTTTTTGGAGGGGAAAAAAGTGTATGCACAGTTTTACAGACACAAACATATGCATGCCAGAATTGACTTTAGCTAATGAGTTGTATCTTAGTACCATACTTTAATGTGTTTGCATGATTTCCAGTTGAATTAAATATGAGCAGGCTCCACTTGTACTTCATTCTTAGTTTCATACTTTGGTGACCCTGTACTTAAAACTTTGTACAGTTAATACTAAGCGTTAGAGAGCTGATGAGTTTAAGAGTTTAGCTCACCCTGAAGTTTAGCAAAATTCATTTATCCGTATGGAATAGTCACGGTTCCTGCCAATCAGTACCAGATTGCTCTCTTCTAATTTACAGTAAAAATTAAATGACAAAATTGGTTCAAGGTAATTAAAAGAACCTAACCTTATGTTTGCAAAATGTAATTCTTTAAGAAAATATTTTAAACTGGTAGCTTTATCAACCAGGTTTTTGGGTTTTTTTAACTAAGTGATTTAATCAGAATAATAAATGAAAATCTGTTAAGCATGTGAAGAGAAGTTTCAGTAGACTGATGTCTCTGTTGTCATTGTCAAGATTAACACAATCAAACTTAAGCATTAACTTCATGTTTTCTTTGGCTTTCATTATACCATAATACGCATTATTTCTTAGCTGGTTTACCAGTCATTCTTTGGTTTTCTCTACAGTAGCTTCTAAAAACTACCTTTTCTCCTGTTCTTGTCAATCTTTAGGCCTTGAACCAGCTGTTTGAAAAAATCATGGCTCTAGACATTGATGAGCGCCACCTTCTGCGCCTGGGTCATGGAGAAGAGGAATTAGAGACAGAGAAAGATTTCAGCAGGTAAGAAAGAAGGTGCTAATGATAGTTTATGTAAGTATTATAGCCAAGATGTGTGTTGTAAATGTGCAAGGAGCGGCTTGGCACGTTTTTCATAGTGTTGAATCCCAATAATGCAGTTTTACTTTCAGAACAGAATGAAGTAATTTTGATTCTTATTCAGTAGCAAAAGTATTCTCTTGAGAATTTGAAGGCAAATCTGGCAGTTACTTGTTCGCAAATTCAGCTGCTTCAGTAAGAGTAGTATACAATGTTCTAGGCACGCATGTATTTTATAAAGTTAATCTGTTTTATGGGAAAAGTTTAATAAAGTTTTTGTAGTTAGAAATTTTTGTGCAAATATATCACCTCTACTTGTTGCTGAATATTGTATGCACATACAGTAGAAACTTTGTGCTTCCAGTTTTTCAGAATATTAAATAGTACTAAAATTACTTATTTTATTGGTAATATATTTTGAAGAATGCATCTGTAAGGCAAGCTATCAATTGTGCATCAGTACAAAGAATTAAGAACCTATTCTTGTAAGTGCTTCTATGCTCTACATTACATGCCAGTCCAGTTGACATCAGTGGGATTACAAGCATTCATAAAAGCAAGCAGGAGATATAAGGGTCATGCAATGGAAATAGTGAAGAGCTGGAATTGGACTTGGGGATCCCAGAGGTCTTTTCCAACCTCAGTGATTCTGTATTGTGATACAGAGCTTGTGCTTCAGCCACAAGTTGTACCAGGGGAGGTTTAGGTTAGACATAAGGAAGAATTTTTTCTCTCAGAGAGAGGTCAGGCATTGGAATGGCTGCCCAGGGAGGTGGTTGAGTCGCCATCCCTGGCAGTGTTCAGGAGGCATCAGAATGAGGAGCTACAAGATATGGTTTAGTGCTTGTGGTAGCAATGGTGATGGGAGGATGGTTGGACTAGATGATCTTGCAGGTCGTTTCCAACCTTGTGATTCTGTGAAATAACTGGATTGTCTAATACTTGATTTTATAGCAATACCTTGACTTCCAAAAGATGTAGTAAAAATTTTATATAGTCATGGGAAGTTAATCATGTACACGTTATTGAGATTCATTTAGCAAAAGAAATCTTCGGGATTTTTTTCAGATTTGAATGATTGAACATAATCTTTTTCTTTTTTTTTTTCCAGAAATTTGGTAACCAAAATCTTAGTGAAATGATACCATGGTAGATATGTATTTTAGTAAATGGTTTCCACTTTCCTGAAAGTGTAATGCTCACAATTAAATGAAATTTTCTATTATTGTCTATTCTCATTTGCTTTCAGAGTAATTCTAGACTTACAGGTCACTACTGCAAATTACTGGGCTCTGGCAGTTTGAGGAGTGGTGTGGTGAGGAATGTACTACAGGGAGAAGTTTATTTCCCATATACCTTTTGTTGTGTTTTTTTTTTTCTAATGTTGCTTCAGCGTGTTTTTTTTCTGTGTCATGCTGTTCTAGAGGGCATGGTACTTGAAGAATTTCGACTACTTGCAAGTTTCTCGTTCGCTTTTTGCTCCCTCTGCAGGCACAGCAATACTGGGAGTTTTAAGAACATAAGGTGGAGAGGAACTGTTTAAACTGGCACTGTCACTTAAGAATAAAGAGGATCTGAGCTAAAGAAAATTCCTATCTTAATGAATGAATGAAGCAGGGGGTTCTTATTGAATTATGAAAAACAATAGAACATCTGGGAGCGTGGAAAAAAAAACTGATTACAGCCACTTGTAATAATGATGGATTAGTTTTGCTGAAGGAAAAAGAAGATCTAACAGTAGAAGGCTTTTAACTGTCACAGTTCCTGAGAAACTTGTTTATTCCGGTTGTGAACAATACCATATTCAGTTGTGTATTTGTAAATTGAAATCATCAGTTTTAAATTTTTAAATTGTTGTAAATAAGACAGTAAAACCCACTGAGATCCCAGGGATTTTCTTTTATTTCTCTCATTACAACAGGTTTTAACATTTGGTATCTTACTAAGAAAATGTGATACATTTTTTTTGTTGTTGTTGTTCGTTCTTGTGCTGCTTCTCTTAGGGAAAAAGTGCGTAGATTAGGGAAGAGGATTTGTAAGGGGGGAAAAACGGGAATGAATTAGGTAAGAAAAAACAGAGTGTATGGAGTAAGTCACCATATCATTGGTAATAAAAAGTTTTTCCTGAGCAGCATTGAGTAGAGCAGTGTCCTCCTGTGTATGGATACAGACCTGTCTATTATGGTAGGCTGAGCATTATTGCAAGGTACTTTGTATATTGCCAAAAATAGTTAGACTTGCACAAGAGCTTGGGTTATCAGTTTGGTTCCACTTGTAATTATCCATAGACTTACATATACACATGCACGTTTTACAACATACAGCACACCACACCACCAGCATCCTCTGCTGATGTTGTGATCTACTATTCTAAAATAGGAAGCATTACTTTTGGAGCAGCCCTCATAGTTGTGGTTTTGGGAGAAGTGTTTGTGATCTCTCTTTTTGATACTTATATAAACCAGTTTGGAATTAAATAAATCTGTATACAAAATAGGTAAAACCTTAATTCACTTTTGTAGGTATGGAAGAGTGAATTATGTTCTGGCTCGAAGACTTGAACTCCTGCGAGAAGTTGGGCGATTGCAAGAGAGTCTTGGTGTCCCAGGAGATGTTTCTTACACTTGTGAAACAGCTGGCCACTTTTTCTTATACCAAGTAAGGACTGAAATACTTTACAGAGACTGTATGACCTCAGTGTGTTATGAAACACACTATGAAAATTGGAGAATTTTTCAGAATCAAGTTTCAAAAAAAAACCATTTTCTTTAGTGGTTCAAAATATAAGATGTCTAAAGCCCTCTTTATTTATATTGCTATTGTTTTAATTCCTGCCTGCTGGCTCATATTAATTAAAAGGCTAACACGCTTTATTACTAGTGGCAAGATTTCTAACCCGGAGTTTTCCCTTCAATTATGAAAAGCTGTGGGGTGCTTTATATTTTGGACAAACATTACAGCTGCTACTTAATGCTCCTAAAGAAAGCTTTTGTTTGAAATCAGATGCATAGTCTACAGAACAGTGATTTTCGGTATATGTCTACCCCTCATTTCTGTTTGGTGTAGACACAGAGTTGTCTTAAGCAAGTAATGTGGCTTATGGAGACTCGTAGAGTGGTACTTAGGAAGAAATGTTCACACCATATAAGTTTTGAGAGAAGTTATCTTGGGTTAGCAGTAGCATGGTTCCAGACATTAAAGGAGTTGGTATGTACTAGGATAGAAGCACTGATCAAGTTCGTCTTCTATTTTAATTTCTTCCTGAAAGAATCCATCTTAGTATTTAAATAAAAGTATTTTAAGTAGAGATAATTAAGAAAATATCAAGATGGGAGATAACATCAGAGAAACAGCCTCATAGACACCAAGATCAGAATAAAAAGGGGAAGGAGGAGAGGCTGTAGGTGCCAAAGCAGAAGTTCCTCTGGAGCCTTGGAGAAGAAGACCATGGTGAAGTAGTTTGTGCCTTTACAGCCTGTGGAGGACTACAGTAGAGCAGATCTCCACACTGCAACAAGTGGATGTGTCCTCAGGGAAGCTGGAGCCCATAGAGAGACTATGCTGGAGCAGGCTCCTGGCAAGAAGCCTTTTTCTGTAGGACTGTACTCTGTGGGAAGAATTTACGCTGGAACAGTTCTTCATGAGAAGTGTGGAAGAGGTGGAAGAGCTGGGAATGAAAGAGTAAAGCCTCGAACATCCTGATTTGTGTTAAGATTAAATGCTAGTTTAGACATGTAGGTTTTGTGGTTAAAAGTTATTTAAGAGAATTGATTTAATAAAATAACATTTTAACTATGTGTACAAGATGACGCATATAGAGTGAAAAAACACATCTGTATGACGCTTTTGTTTGCCATAGGTAATGTCTCGTTGGGAAGAATATATCAGCAAAGTGAAAGTTAAAGGTGGAAAATTACCAGATGTTACAGATGTGTCCAGTTTCTTTCCCTTTCATAAGTATTTTGCAAATGCTCCTCAACCAATTTTCAGAGGCAGATCCTATGAAGAAGATATGGAGATTGCTGAAGGGTGTTTTAGACATCTAAAGAAAATCTTCACTCAACTTGAGGTAAGACTTGTATCTGTTAAAGATAAATAATTCTAGTAAATCCTAAAGAAACTTCACAAAGTTCTAAAATTCTTATTTGTCCCAATTCCTAGAAGTAGTATATACCTCTAGGCAACTTATTTAGCTTGAAGGGCATCCTGGTGAGCATTTCTCCCTCCAAGTAATTTAGACATATTTTGCAATAAGGACAAGAGTCTAATCTGTTTTATTTTGAGCTTAGGAAGCATCCATTTTATATGCATTTTATATGTTTGTATATATATTTTCTCTCAATTCAGTTCTCTTTTCTACCACAGGAATTCAGAGCATTTGAACTTCTCCGCAGTGGCCTGGATAGATCCAAATACCTGTTGGTGAAAGAAGCAAAAATCATTGCTATGACTTGTACCCATGCCGCTCTGAAACGACATGACCTGGTTGAATTAGGCTTCAAAGTAATTATATTTGTAATAGTAACACTAATAATGTTTTTTAGATTTTGTTGTTGTTCTTGTCTATCATGTTGTCACTTCCTCTCCCTCCCCCAAACCACCTTGTTTAGATCTTTCATCTGTCCTAGATCTAGGTGACTGTATTATTTTGAATTGCATATTTTCACCAGTATGTTTCCAATAGTAATTTTTTGAAGAAAACTTTTAATAACAGAACCAGAAGTTAAAGATGGTAACATTTTCAAGTTGCACATATTGAAATGCTTGAAAGTGCACGCATATTTAAAAAAAAAAAAAAAAAAGTTTTGTCATATTAAATGACCTGCCGTTATATGAGTAGGTAATAAAAGAAAGGATGAACTGGGAAAGATGCTTTTGTTACAGCATTGCTTACTTTAAAAATGAACAATTTGAGAAGAGCTGTGTTGCAACGCTTTTTTTGCTCTGCATTGTTAACCACTGAGATTCATTTACTGCAGATTTCTGACAAAAATGGACAAATTCCCTCAACTCTTTCAGTGTTTTTCTCCTACAATGCACTGGATCACAGAAGTACAACTTTTCACTACAAGAATATCAACTTTGCCTCACTGCAGAAAGCTTTTCCCTTGAGGATGAGTTATGGCATATAGAAAGAATATAATGTAGTTCAGATGCAGGTTGTTTCTAGATCTAAGGATTGATTGGTATGGATAAGTTTGTCGTTGATATAATGAGATTTCACTCTCTGAAACTGATTTTAGTCTACTGGTGTTTTGCCTATAAAGTAAAATCTGGCTGTGTAACTGTCCTACTTAGGAAAAACAAACAAACCAGCAGAACTTTTAATTCCCTAATTAAGCAACTGTTTCCTTTTGGTAGATTGAATAACAGTGTTAACTTGTATTATTTGACTGATGGACTTCTATGTACTTTTTCTTTCTCAGTATGACAACATCTTAATGGAAGAGTCTGCACAGATTCTGGAGATAGAAACCTTTATACCTCTCCTGTTACAGGTTAGACTTGTATTATAAAGCATGCTGCAAAAAAATGAAAATTGGAAGCCCATGTTCTTGAACAATATAGAATATTATAAAGGAAAGTATCTTGTGTGGAAGGTAACAGAACTGGTATTTCCCATTTTGCAGATGCTAAGAACTTTCACGTTTTTCTTCATTAATTGTGTATACTGTATTTTACCCTGAGTGTCTGTGACTGTCAGGGTTTCACTTTCAAAACGTGAAGAAATGTGAGTGAACTGGTACCTTGGTTTGTCATTCTTTTACTTTTATTCTTCGCCATTTCATAGCTGTTGTTAAATCTTTAATAATTTTATCAGTTTTTTAAATTTTCAATTATTATGAAATAACTGTTTTAACTGTTTCCCAAGAACATAAGGCCTATATAATTGCTCTCTACCATCTCACCTGCCAGTTTGTTTGGCTGGTTGTAGTTAAAAATTGAGAGATTAAGTGGATGTCTGTTACCTACAACTTTCAGGAAAACTAGAGCCTGGTAGAAATTAGGTATTTTAACTGATGTTACAACACCGCCGCAGGTGGATGGGAGGGGAGTAATAGAAACTAGTTCTTTCTAGTCTACTTTTGACCAGTAATTAAGCAACTTTTGTCTGGCTGCATTGGTAAATGTCTAGCTTGGAATCATCTGTAGCTTGTATTATTTGTCAAACCTAGAATTGGTAGATAAAGTAACGTGTATGTGATACAGTTGAATGAAAGTCTTGTCCCCTACCTTTGTGATGGTAAGGGGTTGTTGTGATAGAGGGCTAATGCTGCTACGGTTACACTTGAGTGTCCAGAGACGTGTGGATGCTTAGTTCTTGGAGACTTTCAAGGCAAGGCTGGACCAGTTTCTGGGCAATCTTGACCTAGCTATGGATGTCCCTGTTCATTGCAAGGGAGTTGTACAAAGATTTCCTTCAAAGGTCCCTTTCCAACTCTGGGTATTCTTTGATTCAATAAATATCTTTTCCTAAAAACATTTACTCTGATTGTTTAGTTAGTCTGTCTTTGAATTTGTTGTGCCTCAGGTGAAGATTGCTGTTCTAGTTCTGGGATTGCTTTTAGTGACCTCAGCTTGAGATGCATCACTTCCTTCTTTTAAGAGCTGTAGGCATTCAGGAAAAAAAAAGCTGTACTTCTTGCACGTGACAGCTTTCTAGTTTTCTCTGTATCTCAAATTGTCATGAAATAAAATTTCACCAGTGGAAGTAAAGTGTGGATTCTCTCAGGAACTCTTTAGCTGCTGAGCAGAAAATGATAGGTGGGAAACTAGTGAAACTAAGAGCCTATGTTGTTCATTTGATTCTTACTCTGAAAAATACAGAGTCTGTGTTTACTCATTTTCTAAAAGTGAGATTCTTTTCTGGAAGTTTTGTTTGAAGCTGATGGTTTTCATTGAAAAGGAACGATTTAAATTCTTCTAGAATTTTAACAGAATCTCCATGAAATATTTCTATATTTTAATAATAGCTCATAATTTTTTGCATAGCTCCTTAACAATAGAGTATCAAATACAGTTAGAAGGGATTAATTCATTGTAAGCCTAGTGCACAAGACAGTGTACATGTCCAAGAATCATGCTTTAAGCTTAAAATTGGGCTTTACCAGCTCAATTGATATCTAACTGTAAGCTTCTTCAGATTGGGAAACATTAACGCTGCATTTTATCACCTTTTTGATGTGGTAAAGGCTGCCATGTTTTGATAACTCAGAGCAGATAGGTAACTAATTATTTAACGTATAGACCTTAAATGGCCTGAACTCTGAGCAGGAACATAGATTTCTGTTATTTTGGGAGTGTCTGGGGAGCAAACAAATTGAATGAGGCTTCTTGCAAACAAGGAGATTTTTTTTTTGCTTAGTTAGGTGCTTTTAACTGCTAGAAGGGAATATAGGCATAAGTTGTAGTTTAGGTGACTTCTCATGGAAGTTGGTCTTTAGAGATTCAGGTTATTTAAATCTGTCTGAAGACCATTTAACATTTACTCTATGATGTTGTTTTTGCCTTTTAGCAGTCCTGTATTGAATGCTACTGAGGTGCTGTATAACAAATGATTAAATCCTGCATGGCTTTTACCGTGGTTTTTGTTGATCATAGAATCATTGAGTGGCTTGTGTTGGAATGGACCTCAAGGATCATCAAGCTCCAACCCCCCTGCCACAGGTGGGGCTGCCAACCTCCATATCTAATACTAGACCAGGCTGGCCAGGGCCCCATCCAACTTGGCCTTGAACACCTCCAGGGATGGGGCATCCACAATCTCTCTGGGCAGCCAATTCCACCACCTCACCTACCCTTGGTAAAGAACTTCCCCCGGATATCCAACCTAAATCTTTCCTCCTTCAGCTTTAGAACTGTTTCCTCTTGTCCTGCCATTATCTATTCTTGTAATGAGTTGATTCCCCTCCTGTTTGTAGGCTTGCTTTAGGTACTGGAACGCTGCAATGAGGTCACCTTGTAGCCTTCTCTTCTGTAGGCTGAACAATTCCAGTTCCTTCAGCCTGTCTTCATAGGAAAGGTGCTCCAGGCCTCTGATCATCTTTGTAGCCCTAATCTGAACCCTCTTTCCTGTGTTGGGGGCCTCAAAACTGGTTACAATACTCCAGATGGGGCCTCACAAAGGCAGAGAGGGGAAATCACTTTCCTGTCACAGCTAGCCATCCCTCTTCTGATGCAGACTGGAATACAGTGGGCTTTCTGGGCTGCAATCACATACTGCTGGTTCATGTTAAGTTTTTTATCTACCAGGTCCAGTAATTGCATCTCAGCAAGGATTACCCTGACCAAAGTGCACTTGCTTTGTTGAACTTTGTTAGGTTCACATGGGCCCAGCTTTGAAGTTTGTCAAGGTAGATGGCATCCCTTCCTTCTGCTGTATCTGCTGCACCACTCAGATTGATGTCTCGTGTTCTTTGTCACTGATAAAGATGTTAAAGAGTACTGGGCCCAGAACAGGCCCCTAGGGGGGACACTACTCATAACTGACCTCCACCTGGACATAAAACCACTGACCACACCCCTCTGGCTGTGTCCTTACAACCAATTCCTTATCTACTTAATAGTCCACTCTTTAAATCTGTATCTCTCCAATTTAGAGATAAGGATGTGGTGGGGGACCACGTCAATGGCCTTGCAGAAGTCCAAGTAGGTGTCATCAGTTGCATTCGCTTTGTCTATCAATGCCATTGCTCCATCATAGGAGGTCACAAAATTATTTGGAGAGCTCTTTGCTGTCTGAGCTTGACACTACTGATAAGAGCAAATTATCGTATGGAATACTTGAATTTCTCCAAATCAGTAACTTTTCCTTTTTTTTTTTTTTTTGAGAAAAAGAAATTAAATGTTTCTATTAGCAATTGAAAATAATTTTCATCCTCTTACTTTCTTACTAGGGTATCCTCTGTCTTGATGAGGTGGACAGAGTTCAGTTTTCCTTCCTTGCACCCTGATTAGAGAGGGCTTCAGAGCTCTTCAAGTGTCAAGAAAAGGAACTTTAGACTCTCTCAAGTAGTTCTCCTGGGGGAAGTATTAGAGGAACGATATGAACTGTAGAGCTGGCAGGCAAAAATCTTCAGGATTCTGATTCTTGGGTAGTGTTTCCCACATGTCCGTTTACTTTATCTATTCAAATGGTCCTTCATTCACTCTATCAGTACATAATACAGGCGTGCAAAGGATCACAGATATCTGGGAAAGATACAGTTAACATACTGAAGAGCTTTCAGAAGAAAGAGGATTCCAGAGGTAAATTGGAGAAACATACAAACTCAAAAACACTTGAAAAGCAGGAAATAGAGACTGGGAAGAATGTAGTAGTTGTCTTTAAACAATTTCAATTCAGTGTTGTTTAAGAACAAATGCTGAAATAGCCTTTGCCCTATGAGACAGCCACTTGACTATTCATGTGTTTTAATTGAATGCCTTGATTATATTGCAGTACTTACAGTTGTTTTAACTGATTTTAGAACCCTCAGGATGGATTCAGTCGTTTGAAGCGGTGGATTATGATTGGTGACCATCACCAGCTGCCACCAGTCATTAAGAACATGGCTTTTCAAAAATACTCCAACATGGAGCAGTCCCTCTTCACGCGGTTTGTTCGTGTTGGAGTGCCGACTGTTGATTTGGATGCACAAGGAAGAGCAAGAGCGAGGTGAGTGAAATAAAACCGCATGTCTGTCTGCTGCCAAGTTAAGAATTGAAAAAGCACACTTACAGTATTGGAGAATTTGGGTTGTTAAGACAGGAGTCTGTGCAAAATGATGATTTAGCTGTTTTGTGCCATTGGTTTCAGATTAGACTAAGAGGCATGTTAGCACAAACAAAGTTTGTGGTAGCTGCATCATTTGAAGAACACTGCCAAAATCCTTTCTGAAAGCTTTACTATTAGAACGTTCATGTCTTTTGTTTTCAATTTGAAAAATGGAGTATACTGTGTTTCTTTCAATTCAGCAGTTGTTTGAGTTTTCTGCGAACCGGACAAAAATCAAAAACTAAAATAGTAATAGCAATAATAATATGTTGAGTGTTGAGTTCAAAAACCCCTGTTAACTGCTTGTGTATTTTTCGGGCAGTTTATGTAATCTCTACAACTGGCGTTATAAAAATCTGGGTAATCTGCCTCACGTGCAACTTATGCCAGAGTTCAGAACAGCCAATGCTGGGTTTTTATATGACTTCCAACTTATAAATGTAGAAGACTTCAATGGTGTGGGAGAGTCTGAACCCAATCCTTATTTCTATCAGGTAAGAGAAATACTGAATACTTTATTTAATCTAGATATGTTTTATTGAATCTGAAATGAATCAAAACATTGTAAGCTGATAGTTATGTTCTCAGATTTTTGGTTGTGTATATACATGATTTTTTTTTCTCTTTGTAATCAATTTGAATGTTGAAAAGGATGATAATTTGTTATGCCCTTTTGCTCCAAGTGAATGACTCTTCTTGCTATGTCCATTTGCTCAAAGTCATTGGGGGATAGAGATTTGGTATGTAATTCATTATGAAACATTTTGGCCTGTGGCAAATTAAAGATGTTTAGTTCTGCTGTACTGTCACGACAGTGAAATAAATGGTAGAATTCCACTGTCTAAAATATCGAAGTTTGCTCTGTGATGCATACTTAAGTTTGAAGAGTCAGTGTTTTGATTTAATCTGTATATAAGAATGCAGAGAACTGCATTCATAAAATAATGAAGCCTTCCAATAGCCAGAAGAATGATCTGGGACTATTATTTTAAGTGTAGAGGAAAAAAAAAAAAGAAGTTGAAAGAAGTTTAATTATTTTAGTTCAATTAGTTCTTGCTTTTAGCATACTGGAGAGTGATTAATTGTAACTTTTGTTTACTTTTTTGGGGCCTTATTAAGCTAGTGCTAAGCAAGTGCTCTTTTTTCATTTCTTTGTTTTTAAATTCTTCAATTTTATTACTGAATTGAAATAAAATAAAATACTAACATCTCTACACTATCAACTTTTAATACTTAACAAATTATAGTTCCACAGTTTTACATAAGAGAGGAGCTTTTCTGTGTATTGGCACTTGTTGAGTTCTGTAATACTGTAATAAGATGACATTCCTTTGGGCAGACAGCTGTAGGTATAGAAATACGTTTAGGTGTGAATATTTAAGACACTGAAAATCATTTAAATTTTTCAAATAAGTAAATATTAATATATTTTATGGCTGAGAATATTTAGATTTTAACAAGTAAAATAGTACTTCTTGTAGATACTAGAAAGCATCATTGAATGCCTATCAAACTTACAAATAAGTAACTTTCTTTTTCTCTGTCCTTTCAGAATCTTGGTGAAGCAGAATATGTTGTGGCACTTTTCATGTATATGTGCCTGCTTGGTTATCCTGCAGACAGGATAAGTATCCTAACAACATACAATGGACAGAAACATCTGATCCGAGATGTCATTAACCAGCGTTGTGGAAATAATCCATTGATTGGACGGCCAAACAAGGTGACTTAGAAAATATAGTAGGCATTGAAGTGATTCTGTTTTTTCATGATTATCATAGTGTAGAACTGATTAAATACATTCCCTGCTTTTTATGCGAGTATGCATTGACTAATGTACATGTATAGCATGTATTTATCAAAATACATTTTATGGAATTTCAGAGTCCTATCATCTTGTTTGCCTGTTTGAAACTAGTCGTACAAGGAAACTGCGAAATCAGTCAAATTTGATATGTCATGGACTATATGAGACAGAAAAATTCTTTTCTTTGTCATATATTTTGTCCTCCTTTTAAAAAATAAAATAAATAGATTCACCTAGAATGGATATGGTTTGGATTTGGTAAAATACATAATGAAGAATATTATAAAGCGTACAGAAATGTAATTACAAAGTCTGGTGTCTACAGGTTAAAATATGATATTACAAAATTTGATAGTTTTCTACAAACTTTTGATATTAACTTCCCAGAGTTATGTCTGAATTAAGTAAAAATAGGAAAGAAGTGGTACTTAGAGACCCAGCATCTCCCAGAAAGAGTAAGTTGATGTTTGATTCTGTTTTTAGTTCACCTTTAACTAAAAAACATTTTCATCTCTCTTCCCATTTACTACAATCTGAGTCAGAAGTTCGTGCTAAAATTTTGATGTTATGCTATAGTTAAAATGGCAAAGGTTTAACCTGTGGTGTTTTTTGTTTTGTTTTTTGTTCTCTAGGTAACAACTGTGGACAGATTTCAAGGTCAACAAAATGATTATATTCTCCTTTCATTAGTGCGTACCAAAGCTGTAGGCCACCTTAGGTATGTAGAAAAGAACTCTTGCACAATTACTAAAGCATACATTTTCTGGATTAGAAAGATGTTTCTCGTACATTGCACAAAGTTTCAACTATTTAAGTACATAGCAGAACTGAAGTTTAATGCTGTGTATTGAAGGAAGTTTAGACCTGGTTTATTTTTACAGCGCTCTGCTTCCCTCTTCACAACCACTTTATCTTTTACTCTATATTACTATACTATACTCTATATACTATACTATTTCTCTATAAGAAATTTATATTATTGGAGGTAGTCTTGAGTAGGTACTCTTGAACTTGAATTTTAATTTAGAAGGAATGTAATTAATGCTTGTTGAATAAATGCAGGCTTAAACTTTCTATAAATGAACTTTTCTATAAGTGAGCTTTATTTGTTTTGTGTCAGAAGTGTTTGGACACTTTGTAAGTTGTGTTATTTGTAGTCTAAAATGTTTGCACTTCAGTTTTGGAGTAAGGTGAGTAAGACTTGTCTATTCAGGAGTAGTGAGATGATATCAGAACCTATGTTTTCTTATTCAGGGATACAGAAAGGCTATTGTGATTTGTTCCCAGTGTAAAATATAACTGTTTTTCTAGGCTTTAGAAATAAAGGGTAATTTTAATATAATTAACAATATAGTAAGCCTTTTTATAAGAAGATTTTAGTAGTTGTAACAGTATGTAGAAGAAAAATTTAAGAAAATACGAAGTAATCTACTAAAATACTTGTCTTAAAAGAAGCATGCTGAAGTCTTAATTCACGTTTTATTGAAACAGTGGAATCGGTGAAAAAGTATATGATTAATTTGACTGGGTTTTTTTTTGTTTGCTTGTTTTGAAGAGATGTCCGACGATTAGTCGTTGCCATGTCAAGAGCCAGGCTTGGGCTTTATATCTTTGCAAGAGTATCACTCTTTCAGAACTGTTTTGAGCTAACTCCAGCTTTCAGCCAGCTCACAGCTAGACCACTTCACCTCCATATAATTCCCACAGAATGTTTTCCAGCAGCAAGACAGGTAGGAACATCTGCTATGAATGTCAATGGTGTGCTTTTTGCCTGCCTTTTTTGAGTGGGCTACAAGACATGGAACTGCAGTGTCTTAGTCGTAGTACACTAGCTGCTTTTAATTGATTTTTCAACAAAACTAATTTATCAGTGTAACTGGTCGGTTTTGTCTGCTTTTTTGTAAGTTCTGCCTGTGGAAATGATGCTGTTTTTTTATTTCAGGATAAATATGTAAGGTTTCGCAGTGTCTTATGTATTTTTTTCTTATTATAGAACAAACTGTCATTTCTCAAAAATGTTAAAAAAAAAAAAAAGGAAAAAAAGTACAAAGCTCATTTGTTTTTGTTAAAGGTTAAATTGCATTCAGCTGAGCAATTCAGTATTACAAAAGCGTTGCTGAACTAGAGTAAAAAATGTAATACTGCACTAGATCTTTAGCATTTAATCGCAACACTCGCAATGAATAGGATGCTAAACAAAAAAGAAATGGAGGGAGCATACCTGCTTTGCTACCTGGAGTTTTGAGAGGGGTACAAAACTCCTTTAGAAATCTTTACCTAGTCTAAAGTGCTGTTGACAAGTTTGGAAGAAAGCCCTTCTTCTGAAACTGATGCACTCTACAGCAAAAAATAGTGTGAGTGTAGGCAAGGAGAAGCTGAGCTTTGGCAGTCATTGACACTAATCTGAGCTGAAACTAGTTAAGTTTCATTTAAATCATCCTTGAATCCAAAATGTGCTTTACAGATTAAGTATTGGAACCCAGCCTGCTCTTTTGAAACTGAATTTCTTCATTGGACTGCAGGATCATGATAAATTCATTTGCCAAAAAGTGCAAGATCTGTATTTCCTACCTTTCAAAAGAATTTTGCTAGTTCTTTCTTAGAAAGCATTTTTTTAAATTTCTTCAGTGTATGTTTCCTAATACAGCAAAATAATTTTTTGAATAATGGTTGTGTTTATTTGCTTGCTGAATTTCTACATATTGTGCTTCTTTAGAATGGGGAACCGCCTACTCACCAAATACATGTTATCAAGAATATGCCTCAAATGGCTAACTTTGTTTACAACATGTATATGCACATGATACAGAGTACACGCCACTACCAACAGGTAAGGATCTTCTAACTATTCAAAGATATGCATACAAAGTAAAACTTATTTTGGTAAGTAACAGGAAGTGCTGTTGTGGTTTGAGATTGTTACTGTTACATTCAAAATTCAAGAAGGTTTTAAAGCTGAGAGTGAGGATACTGAAATCTCTAAAATCTTGCAGTAGCAAGTAACTGAGGATGCAATTTAAGACCCCCTTATGTTAAAAAGTGCTAGATGTGATTCTGTCTGGGCACAAAAGTTCTTTGTTAATACCAGGGAACTAGCTTGCCCAATGTTTAATTGAGGTAAACTTGTGCATTATATTTCAGTATGTGCTGCCTGGTGGAATAGTGTTTTGTAATAGATACTTTCTTGAGATGGCTGCAGCCTACAGGGAGACTAGGTCATGCCTTTCAAACCATTTTAATGAAGTTAGCTCACTGCATTATCCAGTGTGGTTAGCAGCCGTAGCACTTGTGTGTGCAAGTCTGGAGGAATTTTTTTTTTTTTTTCAGCACTTCACTTAATAGTACAGTGTAAGAAGTAGTGGTAGAAGACTTTCTCACTTTTGTACTTAATTTTATCAGTGCTTAATCCCTGGAGCAGAATTCAAAACCCATTAGGGATCTCGAGTCCTTATTGTGTATGTAAGCAGAGCTTTAAAACAGTTTAAATAGTATATAGAGATCTGCTTTTAGTCACTGTACTTGGATCTGTAGATGGCTAGAGATAGTTGACAGTCAGCATAACCGGAGAGGTCTTTAATGCTATCCCTGAACTGGAACACCTTCCATTTAATGTCTGGGTGTATCATGTTACTTATAATGTGATCTTACTTGGTACTCCCTTGTTGGTTTTTGCTCTTCCGAAGAATTTCTGAAGGTGGAAAATACCGATGTAAAAGAAATGCTATCTGATTGCACAAAGAGCATCAGCGTGGTTCCACTTGTCTGAGAGATCTAGTTTCTATTCTCTAATGCAAGGAGGTTTGTTTGACTCCTTAACTGAATGTACACCTGAACCTTCTGCTAATACCAGATATTCTTTTTAGCATCCTAGTCTTATGTTGCTAGCTAAAATTAGTTTAAAAAAAAAAAAAAAAAGAAAACTGGTTCCCTGCTGTGGCAATGAATCACACTACTGCAGCAGAAGCCAAAAAATGAAGTTAAAAAAGAAAAATGCAGACAAGGTTTTCCTTATCCTTTCTGATATTTTTACATCATTGTATTTTTTTTCCCATTGGTCTTAACAGTAGAGTCTCAAAGCACAGCATGAATCTAGCTGTATTACAGAAAGTCTGAGTTTGTTTCATACTTTGAGTGTATATATATATATGTTGTTTCAAAATCAGAGCTCTTTTAATTATTCTTTTTTCAATGAGTAAGTGGATTATGGAGATCAGTGTGATAACTTCAAAGTCTGTGAAAAAAATGCTTTTCTTATCTCTGCTGGTAGTCACAATTATTGCATAGATCGGCCCAATGCTTGTCAGAAACTTGTAATATTAATGTCATCTAATTGAAGATAAGACTTTACCGTAATTAAACACTTAATTTGTCAAGTGAAACCAAGTTGCCTTTAAGCAAAATGTAACTAAACAACCATCCTTGAGAGATTTATCAAGCTTTTATTTTATTAAAATATTTTAAGGAAGTATCTGTCATGTCATTAGATAATGTCAGGCTGCAGAAGTATAAGCATTTCTATAGAGCCGGAGGTTGAATAGCTTCATCATAATCTTCTGCTTACTGTATATTTTGTTGGGTTTTTGGTTGTTTGTTTTTTTTTTTTCAGGTCTAAAGTAGTTGTCACTGCTATTTGTAATGCTTTCTGCTAGCAAACCATGTTCTTGGTTGTGCACTTTGCACTAAAGTACTTTTACAGAAGTATTATGTGAAAAATATCTAAGCATTACCTAATCTGTTACTGGAGTTTACATTTTTCTACACTTAGAGCTGTGGGTGAAACTTGTATAAATACAGATAACGTACATATAAGACTTTATAAGATGTTTCAAAGGGAAATTACTGGAATAAGTTATTGAAGGCATAAAAAAGGGAGTCTATCTTATCTAGGAGTTTGTAATGGTAACAGGTGCGGTTATGGTAGAAATGAGCTTGTTGCTTCAGCAGCACTGTAGTCCCATTACTTGAGTGGCTGTTGGGATAATGAAACGTGTTTGATATCCTTGAGTTGGAAGTACTGAGCTTTAACACTTGCTTTTCAGGCAAAAAGAATAAGATTCATGTGTGAGCCAAGATTGTTCATTTTGTTTGTATAGGAGTAAAATGCCTACAAATGATTAAGTCTTCTAAATTTTAAGTTGTTAAACTTATCTGATGAAAAGCCCTAAATGTAAGGTGAACAAACAGCTTTTTTTCTGTTATTCCTAAAATAGGAATAAATGCCAGAATGATACATTTGTTGTAAAAACTGAAAACTCTTTTTTTTAATCATCCAGCGTTTATTGCCTCCACCTGCCATGATTGAAGAGCCTGAAACTACACAAACTCAAGAGTCTGAAGCGGAAGTTGAAGTGCAGGGTATTCAGGAAGATGCAGAAGAAGAAAATAAGGTAGAAGAAGAAATGGTAAAGGAAGAATTGAAAGTATCAGAAGTGGATGAACATCGAACAATGCCAGAACACCCTGGAAGAGACAGTGATAGTGAAGACAGTGAACCTGAGGATGAGAATGAAAAGTGATCCAAGTGATGTTCGTTCACTTACTTATTCTGGAAAACAAATGGGAAAATGCAGTTAGAAATATGATTGCTATTTTTACATTGACTCTTCTTAAATGATTTCATGTGTGATGTAACCTTGTTTCCTTATTTTCACTGAATGCTTTTTGGGCAAAAAAGATGATTGGCAGTCATTCTACTGAGTTCTTGTCAGTATCAGTAATGTAATTTGTTTGTTCACCACAAATGATATACATAAGTTTTTTAGTAAAGATACTTTTACACAAATTTGGATTTTTTTTCTTAAGCCTTTAATTCAGTTCATGAGTTAGCTGTTAAACTTCACTGATTACCTATATTTAGTATTAATCAGACACTGTGGTTTGCTTAATATTTTGCAGTGGATAATTTTTTACCTGGTACAGTGTTTATATACACTGAGATGATGTTGTAGGTTTTGGCTTGAGTTTAGTAAGCTGTTTATTTGCAAGTTTGAGAAATGGAAATTACTTGGTTTTCAAATGTTGCAGTTCTGAAGTTGCCAGAAGAATTTCTTCACTAAACTGGTCAGAAATTCGTTAGCTCACAAGCTTTTATTACCATGTTTGAAGATATTTATCACAGAATTGCAGGTTTCAGAAGGATCTCAAGATTGAGTCCAACTCCCCTGCAGGTACACTACAATAGGTTGCACAGACCCAGAGGGATCTTGAATATTCTTTTAAGTTTTTATTAACACAAAAAAGAACTACTGCTATTTGACTGAAATTGTGTTATTTCATTACTTGTTCTGAGTGAAAGATAATGTAAATTCTTTGCCATTGGAGGACAAACAGCAATGTGTATAATACTAGGATAGTAAGCTTTATTTGGTAACATTCATGTGTTCAAGCAGGGCAGAATAATACTAGGCCTTCAAGCAACATACGGCAAGCTCAGCTGACGTCTGTCATCTCTGTTTTCCAAACCATTTTTACAAATATCTGAGCCAGGCAATAATTTGGAAAAAAAATTAGTAAAGGATTCTGGAGGAGTTTTTGTCTAAAATGGATGGTTTAATTGACAGGGATTCCATCAATAAATACTACAGGGAAAAAGCAACCAAATCTGGAAGAGTCTGTAAAGATGTAGATTTGTATATGGTTTGCAGTGTAATCTTTCTGTTGGTGTATTAGCACACCTAGCCTATGTAATACTGTGTTCCATGTGCGAGCCTATGTATCTGGTCCCTTCTGACTCACGGGATCCTCTTGGAACAGCTATGTTGAAGTCAAATGTGTTGCCCTAAAACGGCAAGCAGTGTTGTAATGGAGCTCGTTGCTGACTAGCACAAGAGCAGAAGCAACTGAATCAAAAGCAATTGCAAAAACATTACAGCTTTAATACATACTTTTCTGAAGGACCAAGCATTGCCTATACTAGAGATGGAAAGTTTTGCTGAGTTGACTTAAGCTGAGCAGGTCATTGCTGCTACTTTCCACGTACTGAACTTTACACTTTTCAGTGATGCGAAAGTGTTTTCAAATGTGGGAAGTCATGTTTACCATGTAGCAGTGGTTAGAAAGTTCTTTGTATTTGTGGAATACAAGGTTAAGTGTAGTGGCTTTTTTTTTTTTTTTTTTTGTAAATGTTCTGCATTTAATTTTTGGTAAAGGATGAACTTTGTTTTTCACACCAAAATATGTTTAGTTTTGGTGTTTTATTGACTCTTCTTTGCAAGAAAGAAGTAAAACAGCCTAAAAGTTTGTCAAGGGGGGAAAGAATCCAAGCTAGAGGTCTTAATGAGCAGTTTACCCTATGATGACATGTATTAGCCTGCTCCGAATTTGCATTAATTCTGCTGTATGTGTTGGATAAGGTTCTAACTTTTTCCAAAAGGTAAAAAAGCATCCTGCCACTTCACCTCCTTCTGAGAAAGGGTCTTTGCTGTTTCATCAGACATAAAAGGATATCAGTCCTCAAGGAAAGTATCCTGATGAGGACTAGAAGTTAAGATTGCTGACAGGAAGAGTCATTTTATTCTTTGAAATCAGACATTTAAAAAAAAAAAAAATGCAGTTGATGTTGCTCACTTTACTGGATAAACAACACATACAATTCTATTAAAACAAAAATTAGATGACACTTGGAAAGTCGTAGAGCAAGCTGACAAAAGTAAATGTCCTAGCCAACAAATGAATCATAACCCACAGCAGTCAAGAATCTGTGAATGCCATTAAGACATATGGCAGTGTAGTTCCCTTTGCCAAACATGGTAGTCCTCCTTGCAGAATCAATCAATACAAAATTAATGTGTTCAGGGTAGTTTTGGAGGCTGTTTACGTGTTTCCTGTTACATGGCTTTTCAGTGTAGTTTTCTTAGAGTCTTTTTTCTCAGGATTGATTGGTTAAGTACCAGACAAAAGAAAATCTCTGTGCTGTAGTACTAATAAAAACATTTTAAAATAAAGCTATTAATATTGTGAATTTAAAAATAACTTCCTTAAAGGATTTCAGCTCAGCATCCTCTGTTAAGTCCATGTATTTGCCTAATTTTTATGTAGGTTCTGAAAAGGTACAATTCTCAGCTCTCAGAAATTAAATTCTTCCTTACCCATAGATGTATCTACACAATCATTACCTAAAATGGATGCAAGAGGAAGAATCAATAGCTGTAATGCTACTTGCTCTCTGTAAGTAGTTGTTTCAGAAAACTAAATACTACTATTGGAATGAGAAAATGATCTTTTCCTCCCTCCCATAGTAGGTAACAAGGGCAGATTATTTCTCCAGGCCTTGCTCTGGAATGGCTTTAATCAGCTTAATCTAGCCCATATCAGAGGTAATGTAATATAGTGCTATCGAGAAAAACAGTTGCATTTAATTTAGCTTCCATCATGATTTTCATTCACCTTGAAAAAAGAAAAATGACGAGGATCTTTGAATCAACTAATAACATCAATGTAATGCAGAGAAGCCCATTGCTTTACTGTTAATGTCTGGGAAAAAAAAGGTAAAAGCAAAATAAGAGTTACTTTAGCTATGAGTAAGAAACTTTCCAGAGTTCAGGCGTTATCTCTTTGCTTGAAAAACAAACAGTATCAGAACAAACAGTGTGTTTCTGTATGCATGTATAATTAACTTTTAGGAAAACGTAGGTGTAAGCGAAAAGTTGAGCTGACTGTTGGCAGTTATATAGTTCATCTATAATGTCACTGAAAAAGTATATACATAGCTATATATAGGATATATATACAGATAAAGTGTATGTTTGCCTAATGAAACATTAGAAGTTTGCAATTCCAGAGAATACCATAAAAGAGTAAGCTAGTGATCCAAATAAGGGTCAGGAATATATCAGTCTTGGCACTGTTTGTAAGAGATAAAAAGAAGCCGCCTTTATTGCATTTATCAACTGTGAATTCCTAAATTGCCACAGTCCAGTGTAAGAGAAGCCCTGCTACACATCCAGAGACGCTTCAGCATCCTGCTGTGCTAGTCTGACATCTCTTGTATGTCAAGAGCACTTATTTTTAGATGGGACAGTCATTAGGGACATAATGTATTGTAACTACTGCAGAGAAAGTAGTCTAGGGGCAGCAGAAGCGGATTGAGAGAAGCTCAGTACAAAGACACTAAGATTCTGTTTCTGACCTTAATCCACAGCAGTACAGACTTGCCCTATTTTTGGGAGTGATTTTTGGCAGCAGCAATCATGTTCTATTGGGAAATACCATGTTTTCTAAAATGAGAAATTCCATGTTTTGCATGCTGAGTCAGAGAGAGGAGAAAGCGCCTTACCAGTAATCCTCTTTAGCTTGAGGGCACATGTGAGAGCACTGAAACAAGACTTAGGGAAAAAGAAAAGCCCAAGTGTAGAAGAGTTGTCTTACTATTTGTCGTGGCTTGGGCTGGGATAGGGTTAATTTTCGCTCTAGATGTTCATATGAAGTTGTGATAAGGATCTGTGATGAAAAGAGTGGTGATAACACACTGGTGATTTTAGTTGTTGGAAAGCGGTGCTTACACAGCCAAGGACTTTTCTACTTCTGTTTTCATAGACTCTGTTTTTCAACTCTCTTGATCTCTAACATACTATGAGTAAACGTTGTTCCTACATACATAGATACTTCAGTGATGGGGCTATTGTCCTAGAATGCTCCTTGTTCCTGTGGTGTTCACCCACCAGCTCTATCATTTTGAGCTCTGCAGTGAAATGAGACACAAAGGACTGCTGCTGGTTCTGACTCATTTTGCTTGGTTTTTGATCCTATGCACAGTCGCTTTCTGCAACACCAAGCTGTAACACATACCCTTATTAACTGGACAGAAGAATTTAGCAAACATGGGTTTAAATGCTCCATATAAATTCAGTATTTATATGAATACACGAGATCTTGTGTATCAGTAAATTTGCAGGTTTGTCCTGCAAATTCAAAATTCAAATTAAAAAAAAAACCTTCTATTTGGATTTGTTTTACTGTATTTAGTAATGATGTCTTACAGTGTTCCAAGATGAATATAATGGAATGAAAAACCAATGTAAGTTATTGTTGATGATCTTGTACAATGTTGGAGAAGGTTTAAGAGAACAACCTGTCTGAATTCCACCAATGAAGGTGAGTACTAGAGGAGAGCATGTTCTATCCAAACTCATGAGGAACTGAGTCGAGAATTTTCATATTACTTTTCCTAGGCCATAGCTAGAAATGCTCAGTTAACCTATATACAAATATAACTTTATCTGGGTATGGGATGTCTCAATCTCAAATGCTGATTTCAGGGTCCAGTCTGTAGCTATTCCGTCTGTTTCAAAAGAATTACTAGAGTACAGTGATTCCATGAGAGTACTGGAGGGACTCAATGCTAAAAACACAGCAAGAATCCTGGGATCTCCATTAGTGCATTCATTTGTTATGGATGCCTTTAGCCTTAACCTCAACTGCTTCCATCAAATAACTTCCCTTGTGGCACCTGTCTCCCCCTTAAGCTGCCTTTCTCCTATAAGAAGGTAGAGAACAAACTACTGTTCATAACTCCTCATACTCATTCAAGAAAAAAACTGGTTTTCTCAAGTCAGCCAGTTAAGTACTAAGCAGGAATCTTCCCTCTGCTCTTCATCATCTGGCATGAGTTCATGATCACAGCCTACTGGTCACTGGACCTTTTTCTTCCTACTCAGTAACTTTTAGCTGGCTGAGTGTCTCTGCTTTTTGCTGCTGTATTTTTGCGATCTGGTTGCATTACAGGGAGTTGAGGGGAAAGACACATCCCGATACTGTATGCCTGTGAAAGATGTAATGTGAAAAGCACTGTCCATGTAAGTAGAAATATGTATTAAGATAATCTGCCTAAACTGCCAAACTGCTGGTAACCTAGTTTGTTGCTTCCAATTCTGAATTTAGGCCACATACATCAATGTCTCCCATAGAACCTGACAGGATTAGGTGGGAGCAAAGTCTCAAAAGCCTTTTTTTTTTTTTTTTTTTCTTTCCCCCAGGTCCAAATCTACATTGCATAGATAAGAGCAGATTAAGAAAATGCAGTACATGGTGCAGCACCCTTTTCAAATCAGTTATCTTGGAGACATAAACAACTAGAATGATTTTTTTGGTAACTCTCAGAAAAATCTTGAACATATTCATCGTGTTTCTATTAAATTTTGTGGGCTATCTAGATACTAAAATCTGCTCAGAATAGGAAAGTCATTCAATGGAACACCACAGACTATTTTCCCTTCTTTGTCTGGCTTGAAGCCAGATTTAGGACAGCTTGGATACATTAGCACCTGAGATGTCTGCAGACAGTTTTAATTAGCTGTTTACCTAGTTGGTTCATGAAAGATGATAGGAGATTGAGCACTAATTCTCAAGATTATTTCAGTGACTACGTGCTTACAGTGAAGATTTGCCTGTTAGTTTTGTACTGGGTGAGAAACAAAGCAACAAAATTAAGCACCTGTGTATCAAAGATGAGATTGAAGATATAATACTAGTGTTTGGCTATGTCCTGGGCAATTTCTTTACTTGAATTTGCTCTTCAGCGTAAGTTCACTGGCTGTTTAAAGCTTCAGCCGGCTTACCTGCAGTGTTAAAACTGGGAACTACTGGGCACTGATACAGTTATATTTTTAACCTTTTTCAGTTACATTTCCAACGGTCACAAGGGTGCTGGCAGCAGGTGGTGCTGAAGGGAGCAGAGGGTAAGAGACTAAGCAGAGAAAGTGTACACATTTCCATCTCTGTGAGCAGAAAGTCTACACCAGGTGAGGAAGCAGCCAGGTTGGCCTTGGTGAAGCAGAATTCTCTGCTTTGAGGAGGCGGCTGATGTGCAGCCCTGAGGACCTGCCCTGCTCCTCTGTGGGTTTTGCACACCAAATTCACCAAAGTGGCAAGTGGTGCGGGAAGTGAGAGGGAAGGGCATTGGTAGGAATACCTGAATTTGTGGAAGATGTTTTGTCATTTTTAGCATTGTTCTCCACTGTATTCCACGTAAGACAGAAGACAGTGGCCAAGGCCATGTCAGTTACCAGAGGCTGGTCAAGTTCAAGCGGGGAAAAGGGCTTTTGTCAAACAATGTGCTCATACTGATTTTCTGCTTTAGTGAATGCCTGGAAGAGAAAATCTGATCATTTAATGCACTGTAGTTTTGCTTTAAACGTAAGGCTGTTATCTGTATTTTTCTGGCTTTCCTGTTAATGAATAATATGCTTTTCAGTACAGTATCATGAAGTAGCATAAAGTCAGCAACTAAGCGCATGCCATCATGTCCTATGTCTTGCTGTTGTCACAGTAAGCATGAAATATTAGTATGAAATTAGTCGATGAGCAGCTCTGTCTACTTACAGTTACCTTATTTAAGAGCACATTATTTCTGGTCCTATTTTATCCTTTCTGATTATATTTTAATGTTTTTGAAACAAAACATTGCTAAGTAAATGGAACTGTTTTGGTTATTTCTCATGACATTGCTTACTCTTTCACAGTTTGAAAGCACTACTTGTTGCTGCACTCCTCATTTATTTTATAAGTATCTGTAATATATTTTATAGTATCTGTAAGTATAAGTATGAATTAGAGCAAGCTGTCCAACTCAATAATACTCTACCACCTACAGAGTGATCACTCACTAGGCAAAGTAATAATACTTTTCACTACCCTAACTTATGGTTATATTCTCTTTGTCACCTACATATATGTCGGTGCTTAGCAATCCTTTTATAAACACATACATAGTAAATGCTTATTGTAAAAGAATTTACATAGTATATAAACAGTTTATATTTTTTAAAATGATTACAAGTAAAACCAAGAGAAATGGCCCAGTGTTTTAATTATAGTCAATTTACCTTTTTCATTGCCTTTTTTTTTTTTCTTCTTGGTTTATCCAGCTTCTTCATATCTCACAAGGCTAGCTGGAAATGCTAAGCAGTATTTTGGACTGCACTGCATTTTCAAATGTATAATTAAATCTGTATTTTCCCAGACTGCTGAAAAAAATGAACAATGCAGAAACAAAGTGCTCTGACAGCTCACAACACTTCTCAGCCATTGGGGGAGATAACTGTTAATAGTCTTATTGGATAATAGGTTTGATGAATCCATTTTAAAAAAATAATAAAAAACAACAAAAAAAAACCCAAACATATAGTCTTAAAGCTTAGCAAATAAAAATGAAAAGGACCAGATGATATGCAAAAATTAAGCTAGTTCCATTGGTGTGCAACCTGTTTCGTATTAAACCATAGAATTAGCAATAGGCAGTGTAATCCCTTGGTTGCCTGTTGACAACCTGCAAAGTTCCTCAACTTTTTAGGTTAGCCGTTTTCTGGACTTAATGATTATCTAATGTATTATGTTCTCAACTTCAATTGAGTTTTTTAATTAATAGCCACATTTTCTCATGCATTAAAAAAACATTGCAGCTTGTAGAGCTATTTTAAGTATTTGCATCCAAGTCATTCTTACACAGAAGACTACTCATTGAAAGGAATCTGATATTTTCCTTACCTCATTAGCATGTTTCCCAGGAGATGTTCATGACCTGGTTTTTGATACATTACACTTTTGTTAAATGTAAGAAATGGCTGGAAATATCTTTTTTCCTCCCTCAAAATAAAATTTCCCAAACAAAATAGAGTAGTTGATTTCTATCTAGATATTTCTATATACATTTGCAATCAATCAAAGTTTACCTTTTTTTTTTTTTTTTTTTTTTTTTTTTTTTTTTTTTTTTTTTTTTAATGTCACTAGGTTCCAGATGATGAACTGCAATTGCATAGTATGGGGATCCTTTTGGTTCATTGTGCTGCTGTTTCTTGGCTGGCCCATAAGCATAGCCTTGTGTGCCCTCCATGGATTCCTTTCTCCTCTTGCTACTTTAATAGGACTGGATGAATTAAGTGAAGTACTACTGAAGGGCGCATGTCTGGGGAGGCAGTGTGCTCAGAATGTGCGTAATGGCAAGCCCCTCTGCTAAGCATTGAAGACAGCCCTGCGTAAAACAAGCATTCAGCTGTGTGCTAAAGATTTCAAAATTTACTCTGTGAATCTTACATTTTTTTCCAGATCTAAATAATTTATTATTTTTTAAAAGTTTTTCACTATGTATATTTCTCTTGTGGATGTCTGGAAACTTTAACAATTCAGAAGTTTGTCACTGAGAATTTACAATACAAGTTGCAGCTGTTGTTTTGAAGATGGGTAATGACACTGTAAATGGAGAAGGTAGCTAAGTATGTATTGCAAGATTTGAGCTGAGTGTCAAAATCTGCTTAAATGGTTGAAAATACTGCCTAAGGGATGGAAGGCACCTAATGGGTCTGACTATGACACTTGAAAAGAGTGGATTCTGAACTGGAAATTTATTTTTGTGAATATTTTATTCTACAGCACACATTATTCAATAGTAAGAGATGTGAAATTCTGATGTCTTTATAGCATGTATCTTTTCATTTTTACATGTTTCCGTTCTTTCTTACTATCTTTCCTTTAAAAAAGACCTCAGTGATCTTTTGTTCTATGATCTCACTTTGTATTAATCTCCTGTGAACAGCGGTTTTTCAGTGGAACAACTTTGCTGATGTGGGTTCACTGCGCTGATTTTCAAGTACATTAGATAAATAAAGAACTTCTGTAAACACACTTACTGAAGCATCTCCTGCTTTATTCTTTCTTTCTTCCTTCCTTCCTTCCTTCCTTCCTTTCTTTCTTTCTTTTTTTTCTTTCTTTTTTTTTTTTTTTTTTTGCCAGTTGTTATCCTTTTTTCATTGGTAGTATAATTTCTTCCTTCAAAAGGTATTACATAGACTATAGTGACCAGCTGACATTGTGATAGTGATTTTTACATTTTTCTATGTATTTCCAGAAGTGTTATAAGGTGAAAAACCTAGAAGGCAGCTTGAAGAGTTTTGATTGATGACATGGATCTCTGTGGCATCTGGAAAGTGGCCTTGACAGTAAAAGAGAATTTTGCCAAAACTGTAACTATTTGGTCAGAGATTTTTCATGTAAAATGTAATTTGAGATATCTGAGGTTGGATATTTTGAAAAGTCCCAAAATTATATAGCTATTTTTGAAAATGAAACCAGAAAAAGAATGTATGCTGCAAAGGTATGTAAGTACAGCTAATTTGTTGAGAAGTTCCAATCTTTCCATTATTTACACTTTTACAATTTGACATAGGGACATATAATTATGATGGATAATTTCTTTTGCTATTTTCAGAACAGAAGAGGATTACATATAAAGTTTACAAGTAAGCTACTACAATTAAAAAAAAAAAAAGTTCTCAGTAACTGAAGTCTTTTTTATTTGTTTCTTTCAATCAGAACTGCAAGAGGTTTGAGCCCTTAGAAGATGGTTTCAGGGTATGAATCTTAGCTAGTAAACAAGAAAACCTGAGGCTTGGACAGGAATAGTGTTTCATAAAGACCCTTGTCCTCAATTGGCCTCAAATATCTAGCATCATCTTATGCTAAATTAGGTGATGATATATAGAATTTTTTTGTTAGAGGACAAGATCAGAGTAAAAACAATGCTGACTAAGGAGATTTGATTTTTTTTTTTTTTTTTTCCTAACTTTGTATTCTGAAACATTTAACTCCCCCTGTGCATTATCATTAAACAGAAAAGTTGTGAGTTCTGCTATGGCACAGTACATAGCTGAAATGTATGAATTAGTTTTAACGTCTAACATGCACTTTAAGGTAAAAGCTGGAAATACATGATTCAGGCTTACCATCATATGTGTTCTGAATACGGAGAGTGAAGGAGGAACAAATGCAAACTCAATCCCTAAAACTATATGTAGGGCTGTCAATAGGGAGCCTTCAAAGTGAGAGGACAAAAGAATACTTTTGTGTTTGACTCAGCACAAACAGAATTGCTTGAATATTTTTTTCTCTTTCCACATAATCAAAAAGTATTGAAATAAACTTTAGATAAAAATCAAAATTTTTGTTGAAAACACTGAAATATCTGTCTGCAGACATATATTTTTTTTCTTGCATAGAAATAAGCTTTTTGAAAACAATTCAAATGTTACTGTGTGACCTCTGTATACTTGTTTTCTTCTCAGTTCTTTCTTTCTTTCTCTCAATAACCTTTCTGAACTTTTGTAGTTAATGCCAATCTTTCCTCTGTTTGGATACTTAGAATTCACTTCACTAAGCTGGGGGTACAGCACTAAGGTAAATAGTGTAGGTAATTCTTATAGCAGTCATCAATACATAAGATGATTTAAGCACTGGTACATGCCAGAGAAAAGCTGAAGTAATGACTTTAGTACTAAGTCCTGGGACACGTCTGAAACCTCATTCTTTTCTGTAGCTAGTTTGCATCAATTGGTGCAGCTAGCATTTATAGTCTGCTCATTTGGGAACCAGCACCTGGAATTCTTGAAGAGATTATCTGCATCATTTTCTCCCGAGAATCTAAAAAGGACTTATTCCTATTGTTTCTGTTGGATTGTCTTTTTAGGTGCACCAGGATAAGGAAGAGGAGGTGGAGGTAGAGAGGAAACAACTGTTTCCCCCCTTTGTTACAGTCCTGAGGCTTGAATAGTCTCCTGGGATGTTCTATAAAGGTTCAGTGCTCTTTTCAGCTGTGACGTTAGCATCCTAAGCACCATAATGAACTTGTTCTTCTGAACACCTACTGTGCCTCAGACAACAGACTAAAACTGTATTTTCAGCAACATTCTCCCCAGCTGATCTAAATGGTGAAATTTTGCTTATGAGAATTTCACTGATGCCATCTGGTATTTCTCTGATGTTGGATTGCTAGATTTTAGGAAGATGACCTGTTATTTAAATATGCATTTTAACTTTCTAATTCTAACCTTCTTTTTTAGAAGTCCTTTCAGGTTTTTTAATGTTTTGGCCCCACACCTACATTGATCTTTGTTCTCAAATTCAGGACAGTTTCTGTCGGGACCATTCTTTATAGCAAGAATGGCAATAAACACAAATTATAGCTATGCCCGAAAGGTATTCAAAATGCAAGAGTATGTTGCTGCTATCTACAACTCCAATTTTACTTTTGGGACACAATGAGAATCTTTATATGAAATGCTAATTTATGTTTGATTTTTAAACAGTTTAGGATTATTTTCTTTTTTCCAATGTCACGTCGTACTCAATCTTAACACCTACTTAGTCTATTTATAGCTCAAGAATAATTTACTAGACAAACAATGTGATTCTAAAATAAAATGTATAATTAGTCAGGATGAAGAAATGCAAATATTCTGTGTAATTTGTCCTCAACATCAAGAAATTAGTATGAAAGAAATTATGAGGCTGACCTGCTGATCCACTGAATGTTTTTCTAGTCAAACTCAAAAAAAGTAAGTTGGGATAAGTCTGTAAATAAATTGAAAAAAAAAAAAATATTAGCAGAGAAATTTTGTTCAGGAGAAACATACAAGAGTATCACTTGAAAATGTGATTCATTGTTTCAGTGTTTCAGTATCTCTTGTCACACTGGTGATGTCTCACAGTGCTCTTGTTTTATAGCATCTTTCAAATATTTTCTCTCAAAATATTTTCTGTGAAGGAATATGTCTCACAAGTAACACAAAGAACATAATCCACATTTTTGATTGGCATCACTGCAAATTTGTCAAAGTCAGCTGAATGGCAGGGAAAATTAAGTGTCATTCTATTATAAGCAAGACAGTATGAAAAGCTAAGGGGACTTGAATGCAAGACAAAACGGGCCCAGTTCCCACCTTGGTATCAAGCATAAGTATTTACTATGTATTAACATCCTATGTTAAGGATGGCAGTAACTGAAATGAAGTATTTTAATAGATTTGAAATCAAGCATTCCAGAAACACAGCTACAAAATATTTCTGCGATTTTAATGAAGCATGTTAAGCAAAGAATGAAATGTGTTGATTGTTTAAGGAAATGTATGTAAGAGACAGTGAAAACTTCTTATTAATGTCTTGGTAAATGCTTAGCCTTGTCCAAAATAGAGCTTCTTTACAAATCAATCAATCAATAAAGTAGACCCTGCTTTGTTTTCTTCAGTAGCTAAAATAATACTGTTAGATAATATTCCCCCAATGTTATTCTAGAATATTATTTGGAAAACTATTAAACTCTAGAAATAATCCTCTTCTAGAGCCTTCAAATGTTTTCCATCACCAGGCATTTCATAATGGTTCAAAACGGTTTTTGTTATTTTCATTTTGGTTCAACTCTGTTTTGTTTCCGTAGTATTTTTTATCCTGTGTGTATGCAGTAGAACTAGCTCAGTAAACATTCTCACAGATCTGAAAAGTATGTTATGCACATGCTAGTACTGTAATTGTGTCACATTTTATTGCTAAAATGGCAAATGTCAGTCTGTTATGAACTGCTTTTAATTGTAGGGAATGTATTACGAGAGTGTTGGATTGAAATGAAGATATTACTGATATTTAACACATTGTAGGAAACTGTTTCTGGAAAGATTTCTACATTCTTTATAAACACAAAATACAACTCACCATTCACAAAAACTTGTAGAAGTATCGCAGCCATTACATTCACAAAAATGTTATTTATATTATGAAGGCACCATTACAGGTTTTGGTCCAATATCTAATGAAAATCTAGAAAATTTAATCAATATATGCACCTGTTGTCTTTACTGGGAAGTCTAGATTTTTCAGTGAAGATTTCTTTCTCACTTTCAATTCCAAATGGACATAAGAAGAAATAAATTGTTAAAAGCAGATAAAATTTGCTTTTGCAACACTATATATAGTCAAAATAAATATGTTTACCCTTGTGTGTGTTTTTATATTGCATAAAGTCTGTTTTAAATCTGCTTTATTGAAAAAAAAAAAAAAGAAAAAAAGAAAAAAGAAAAAGTAGGTTTTTTTTTTTTCCATTCCTGCAAACTTCTGTCTAGCTCTTCGTAGTCAAGGGATTCTAATGGCCAGCATGATTGCAGAGAAACTTCATTTTGATGACAAGGTTTTACGATTAATAAACTGCTATGTGTGAGGGAATTTCTTCATTCTTTTAAAAAGGTTAGATAAAAATAGTTTTCTAATAAATTTTGCTAAAAGTTAAAAGTTCTGAAAGTACTCAAAGAATTTGGAAAAAAAAGTATTGTTTCTGTCAATTAAAATGTTTTGTTCATAGTTCAGATACAGTTTTTCTGAAAACTAAATATATTGTTTTCTTTCCTTCCTTCCTACCTTCTTTTTTTCCTTTCCTTCTTCCTTTTCTTCTTTCCTTCCTTCCTTGCTTCTTTTCTTCTTTTAGCCCATAGGAAAATGGGATGAGCTGATTTAAAAACATTCTTTGAAAAACTGAGTGAAATGTTTCCGTGTTAAAAAGAAATATCTGGGTTTCTTTTGTTTGTTTGTTATTTAATGGAGAAAAATAATTTTGCCAAATACTTCTGAGCCATATTCCACTCCTGCTTTTTAATTCCCTGCTACTACTACTACTGTGGTGTTTTCTCCATAGTGTGGTCCAGCTATATCTTTTGTTAATAATTCACATTTTTATATGAATTGTTTTACAAGTTTGCAAAACCGTAAATTGGGATCATTACATTTCTGTCATATTCATCAAATATCTCAGTATTCCTGACAAAAACAGTAGAATCTGTCAGTCTTGTAAAATGATACTTCTTAGGATATATTGTGACTAAGTTTTTCTGTGTACACAACAGATTCAGAGAGCCCTACGTATTCATATCTGAGAACAAATTCATTAAAAGTTAATTCTTTGCTAGAATGCAATTGGAATAGACTGCTTAATTGCTCCTTTTCCTATAATTCTGAGACATCTGTCTCTGATTCTGAAAAACAGAAGTCAGCTGAGAAACAATCTGGAAAAGCACACGAGGCTTTGCAGCAGCTGGCAGATTCAGGTTCTTTTTGTTTCAGGTTACTGAACTCACTGCAGTGGATTTCAAATGAGAGCTCATGAAGATTGGTGACACCAAAGCAATGGGGTGGGTTATAAACAAGGAGAG